AACAATTGAGCATCAATATAAAAAAAATGTTACACATATGTAAAAAGGGGATGCTATCTTTCCAGACTTTACAGTAGATCATATGAAAAAGCATTTGATAAAGATGTTTTTAAAGAGATTTTCCATTATTATTTCAGTGTTGAACAGAAACCCAAGTTATTACTCCTAAAAGGACCAAGAATAGGAGGAGGGAAATTACTATCAAGTTTAGATGTGAGAGCTTTGATTGTTAGTTGGATCAGTGGACATGAAACTTTACAAAATGATGAAAATCTACCTTATTATTTTAAATTAATCCTTAAGGGATCTCAAGATGGATTTTCAAGAGCAGTTTTTGAAGAGAAATGCTACAATATTGAGCAAACAGTGGTTATAATGAGATTAAAAGAAACAAAAGAGTTGGTTGGTGGTTATAATCCAGTTGCTGGAATATAAAAGGAAAGTCTCTTGATAAAGGTTATTGGATTAAAACTGACAAAAGCTTTATTTTCAAGATTGATGAAAAACATATTAACTACTCAAGATTAAGCAGAGTCAAAAATCCTGATAAGGAAATATATCATTATGGTAAATACAGTAAATTTATTAAAACAGGTGACATAATATTTTGTGAAATAGTTATGGGTTTTAATAATTTAAACAATTTAAACATGAGAAATAGTGTTAATAATGAACCTTATTGTTGCTATAATGGTCCTGAAAATTTTGAAAACAATTTGCAACTCAGAAACAAGGAAAAACTTCACTTATTAGAAGAATATGAAATATATAAATTAGTGAAGAAAAATCAATAATTACATATATGCATAACAATACAATAAAAAAAATTAATTGTATGAACATTTTTATTGTGAATATTTAATTGAGTCGATTTATTATATAAAACCATAGTAAAGAATGTTAACATTGATAGTACTATAATTCTTGGGTTCCATTGTAGATCCGATGTAAATGAGTTTCATATTAATATTACTATTTTTATATAGGGTAATTCTATATATCACCTGCAAATGGGACATTATAAAATTGTTAATCACATTACATTTGTGATGACTAAATTTTGTAATACCAATGTTCACTTTGTCTGGTTTTGTTGCAGCATGCCCTATATGATGTTAATTAGTTTTGATCTACATAGTCCATCGTACACCCCAATGTGGTATGGTAATTGCCTAATTCCGCAAGTACGTAGTAATTATCGTAATTAATTACCATTTTCCACGTAATTACAATTAATTACCGTATTACGGGTAACGAAACTAATAACGAATTAATTATTGGAAATATCATAATACAAGTCACTCCTGTTATAACAACACTCTCCGTACAAGCAAAAAATGTCAGTATGACGAGAATGTCATTATAACGGGAGTTCATATAGAAGTCATGAGAATCATTATCATGTGATTTTGTAATTTATTTTTATTATATATTTTTATTTATTTCATTCATGTTTTATACATTGGATTAATCATTCTACAGGTCACTCCCGTTATAAGGATAGCTCGTTATAGTGACAATCTCGTTATAGTGACATTTTTTCAAAACCACATTTTTATAAATATAAATTTACTCCCGTTATAATGACATTCATTATGTATCCCGTTATAAGACTATAAGGACATAATTGGACAAAAATTTTTTTAATAATTATAAAATTTATCCCGTTATAGTGACATCCGTTATAAGGACATGTCAGTACAACGAGAGAACCAATCAAATTACTCAAATCACTATGACAAAATTAGATCACTAATTATTTACGTTTTTAATGTTTTAATATTACTAATACTAAACACATTAAACATAAATTACTTACATCAAGTTTATTATTATTAACACTAAAATTAACAATAATCAAATTCGCAAATTGTTTTGGTGGTGACAAAGTATCTATTATTTTCAAGAATGGGTTTGTGAATTGTATATAACAAAGTATCTTTACGTTTTGATTGAAAATTAATAATTTTCTAAATTTAATCATTTTTCAAGTCATGTGATATTAGATTATAAGAACACCTCGTTATACAAACATTTTTTGCTTGTCCCATGAGTGTCCTTATAACGGGAGTGACCTGTGGTTTGTTTTATAGTATATGCCCGGTGTTGCCATTTGATTTTTTAATATTGTGAATAAAAAAAAATTTTTTAATTTTTATGTTTATAACTCAAATACATTCATTATCAAGATATATTTTATAGAAAACTCGTCATGCAACAGCATAGATCAAGTCGTTAAATCACGTATTTAAAAATTTTGTTTATTAAAAATATAGTGTGAAAATATTTTCCTTCTGCTTGATTATAAATTCTCCATATTATAAATAACCAATTTCCTAATATTATCTCATGTTTGTAGAATAAAAAAATAACTTACATTGTAAGCACCATGATCAAAATTTGGTATTGCTTTGTTGGTATTTTTTCTTGAATTTCATCTTACAAGCAAAAAATGTCAGTATGACGAGAATGTCATTATAACGGGAGTTCATATAGAAGTCATGAGAATCATTATCATGTGATTTTGTAATTTATTTTTATTATATATTTTTATTTATTTCATTCATGTTTTATACATTGGATTAATCATTCTACAGGTCACTCCCGTTATAAGGATAGCTCGTTATAGTGACAATCTCGTTATAGTGACATTTTTTCAAAACCACATTTTTATAAATATAAATTTACTCCCGTTATAATGACATTCATTATGTATCCCGTTATAAGACTATAAGGACATAATTGGACAAAAATTTTTTTAATAATTATAAAATTTATCCCGTTATAGTGACATCCGTTATAAGGACATGTCAGTACAACGAGAGAACCAATCAAATTACTCAAATCACTATGACAAAATTAGATCACTAATTATTTACGTTTTTAATGTTTTAATATTACTAATACTAAACACATTAAACATAAATTACTTACATCAAGTTTATTATTATTAACACTAAAATTAACAATAATCAAATTCGCAAATTGTTTTGGTGGTGACAAAGTATCTATTATTTTCAAGAATGTGAATTGTAACAAAGTATCTTTACGTTTTTGATTGATCTCTTCTTATTGTTTTTTGATGATGATGAAATATTTATAGTGATGAAATATTTTGCATTTTTGACAATAAAGAAATTTATTCACAATTGTTTTTTTTTTTTGATGATGTTTTTATAAAAGAATTATGAATTATCCAATACTTGTACTAAAAATTTTTTAAAAACATTTTTTCTAAACCATTTAATTTTTAATGATATATCTTAACTAAATTACCTTAAAAATGAATTCAACCTCTGCATCTTCATCCAGTAAAAGAAATTCTTTAAGTGCTTCACAAAAAAAAGAATTATGTAAACATGCTAAAGATAATCACAGTTTGTCCCAAGATGATTTAGCTCAAGAATTTAAAATTGGCCAAAGCACAGTTCCAGGAATTTTATCAGAATCAGATAAATGGCTCTCCATTGATGAAACTCTTACAACTTCACAAATTAAAAAGGATAGGCTGGCAAATTGGCCACAGTTAGAAGAGGCTCTAGCACTTTGGTTTGATCAAGCTGTAGGGCATAATCTTACAATTTCAGGAGATATTCTTAAAACAAAAGCTCATGCACTAGCTGAAGTTATGGATGTAAATGATTTTAAAGGTAGTGATGGATGGCTCTCTTGCTTTAAAAATCAATATCATATTTATTCAGTAATTAAACGAGGTGAATCAGCATCTGCTCCAATTGAGTTATTACCACAATATTGTGAAGAACTTCAAGAAATTCTTGAAAATTATGATCCTAGTGATATTTACAATTGTGATGAGACTGCACTTTTCTGGCAACTTGAACCATCAAGGACTTTAGCTCATGGTGAAACCTTTGGTACAAAGCAATCTAAAGAAAGAGTTTCTGTCATGTTGTCTTGTAATTCTAAAGGTGAAAAACTTAAACCATTGTTAATTCATAAGTATGAAAATCCT